CCCTGGCCGGGATGGCTTCACTGGAGAATTCTACCAAACTTTCAGAGAAGAGTTAACACCACTACCACTAAAGGTATTTCAGAGCATAGAAAGGATGGAATACTCCCAAACTCATTCTATGAAGCCAGCATAACCCTGATACCAAAACCACGTGAAGACACCACAAAAAAAATTACAGAACAATGTACCTCATGAACATTGATGCAAAAATCCTCAACAAAATTCTACCCAATAGAATTCAGCAACATATCAAAAAAATAATTCACCGTGATCAAGTGAGATTTACACCAGATATGCAGGGATGGTTCAACATTAGAAAAACAATCAATGTAACCCATCACATAAATAAAACAAAAGACAAAAACCACATGATCTTATCAATCGATGCAGAAAAGGCATCTGACAAAGTCCAACACCCATTCATGATAAAAATTCTCAAGAAAATAGGAATAGAAGGGAAATTCTCCAATATAATTAAGAGCACTTATACAAAGCCAATAGCCAACATAAACCTAAATGGAGAGACTTTGAAAGCACTCCCCTCGAGAATGGTGACCAGACAAGGATGCCCTTTATCACTACTCTTATTCAACACGGTGCTGAAGGTCCTAGCCAGAGCAATAAGGCTAGACAAAGAAATAAAGGGCATCCAAATTGGTAAGGAAGAAGTCAAAGTATCTCTATTTGCAGATGATAATTATCTTATACACAGAAAACCCCAAAGAATCCACAAGAAAACTACTGCAACTAATAGAAGACTTCAGCAAAGTTTCAGGATACAAGATAAAAATACAAAAATCAGTTGGATTCCTTTACACCAACAAAGAGAACTTCGAAGAGGAAATCACCAAATCAGTACCATTTACAATAGCCCCCAAGAAGATAAAATACTTAGGAATAAACTAACCAGAGATGTAAAAGACCTATACAGTGAAAACTACAAGACACTACTGCAAGAAATCAAAAAGAGACCTGCATAAGTGGAAAAACATACCTTGTTCATTGATAGGAAGACTCAACATGTTGAAAATGTCAATTCTACCCAAAACAATCTACAAATACAATGCAATCCCCATCTCAATTCCAACGGCATTTTTTAACGAGATGGAGAAACAAATCACCAACTTCATATGGAAAGGGAAGAGGCCCCAGATAAGTAAAGCATTACTCAAGAAGAAGGACAAAGTGGGAGGCCTCATACTACCTGATTTTAGAACCTATTATACTGCCACAGTAGTCAAAACAGCGTAGTACGGTTCCAGCAACAGATACATAGACCAATGGAACAGAATTGAGAATCCAGACATAAATTCATCCACCTATGAGCAGCTGATATTTCACAAAGGCCCAAAGTCCGTTAAAAGGGGAAAAGACAGTCTCTTTAACAAATGGTGCTGGCATAACTGAATATCCATCTGCAAAAAACTGAAACAAGACCCATATCTCACACCATGCACAAAAACTAACCCAAAATGGATCAAAGACTTAAATATAAAATCAAAAACGATATAGATCATGGAAGAAAAAATAGGGACAACGCTAGGAGCTCTAATAGTTGGCATAAACAGAATATGAACCATAAGTAACAATGCACAAGCACCAGAAGAGAGACTAGATAAACGGGAGCTCCTAAAAATCAAACACTTTTGCTCATCAAAAGAGTAGAAAGACAATCTACAGACCGGGAAAAAATTTTTGGCTACGACAAATCCGATCAGCTTCTAATCTATAAAATCTACAAGATACTGCAAAACCTCAACAACAAAAGGAGAAATAACCCAGTTAAAAAATGGGCAAAGGATATGAACAGGCACTTTGCCAAAGAAGATATTTAGGTGGCTAACAGACATACGAAGAAATGCTCACGATCATTAGCCATTAGAGAAATGCAGATCAAAACTACAATGAGATACATCTCACCCCAACAAGGCTAACATTAATCCAAAATCACAAAATAATAAATGCCGGAGTGGTTGTGGAGAGACTGGAACACTTACACACTGTTGGTGGGAATGTAAAATGGCACAACTACTTTGGAAATCAATTTGGTGCTTCCTTAAAAAGCTAGAAATAGAAGTACCATAGGATCCAGCTATCTATCCTGCTCCTTGGAATATATCCTAGAGAAATAATAGCTGTCACACAAATAGATATATGCACACCCATGTTCACTGCAGCACTGTTCACAACAGCAAAAAGATGGAAACAACCTAGGTGCCCATCAACGGACGAATGAATAAACAAATTATGGCATATCCACACAACGGAATACTACGCAATGATAAAGAACAATGATGAAGCTGTGAAACATAACATGGAGGAATCTGGAGGTCATTATGCTGAGTGAATTTAGTCAGTCACAGAAGGACAAATATTGAATAAGACCACTATTATAAGAACTCAGGAAAAGGTTTAAACACAGAAGAAAACATTCTTTGATGGTTACGAGGATGGGGAGGGAGGGTGAGGGTTATTTACTAACTAGATAGTAGATAAGAATTATCTTAGGTGAAGGGAAGGATAGCACACACTACAGGAGAAGTCAGCAGAACTAGACTAAACCAAAACTAAGAAGTTTCTTGAATACAATCAAACATTTTGAGGGACAGAGTAACAGCGGTAGGGATCTGGGGACCATGCTTTAAGGGGATATCTAGGTCAATTGGCATAATAAAGCTTATTAAGAAAATGTTCTGCATCCTACTTTGGTGAGTGGCATCTGGGGTCTTAAAGGCTTGCAAGCGGCCACCTAAGATGCATCAATTGGTCCCAAGCACCTGGAGTAAAGGAGAACAAAGAGCACCAAAGACACAAGGGAAGTTATTAGCCCAAGAGACAGAAAGGGCCACATAAACCAGAGACTTCATCAGTCTGAGACTAGAAGAACTAGATAGTGCCCAACTACCACCAATGACCTCCCTGACAGGGAACACAAGGGAGAATCCCTGACGGAGCAGTAGGACGATGGGATGCAGAACTCAAATTCTAGTAAGAAGACCAGACTTAATGGTCTGAATGAGACTGGAGGAACCCCGGAAAGCATGGCCCCCAAATTGTCTATCAGCCCAGAATTAAAAGAGTTTCCAAGGCCAACTCTTCAGACAGGGATTAGACTGGACTGTGGGACATTAAGTGGTACTCGTGAGGACTGTGCCTCTTAGCTCAAGTAGATACAAGAGACGAAATGGGCTACTTTTCTCCGGAGGTGAGATGAGAAGGCAGAGAGGGTTAGGAGTTGGTTAACTGGACATGGGGAATCAGAGGTGGAAAGGAGGAGTGTGCTGTCACAGTATGGGGAGAGCAGTTAGGGTCACAAAACAATGTACGTATAAATTTTTGTGTGGGAGACCAGCTTGAAATATAAACTTCATTTAAACTACAATAAACAAAAAATAAAATAAAACCCATAAAGCTTAATGTGCTTTAAAAGACCCCAAATGATTGCTCCCTGTGAATCAACAAATTAGGTCAGTTTCATGGGGTCCAAGGTACCCGGGTGGCAAAAGCTGTTTGCAATCAGCTGCTAACCTAAACGTTGGAGGTTCAAACCCACCCAGCAGCGTTATGGAAGAAAGGCCTGGCAATCTGCTTCTGTAAAGATTTCAGCCAAGAAAACCTATGGAACTCAGCTCCATTTTATAATACATCAGGCCGCCATGTGTCAGAATCAGCTCTCTGGCAATGGTTTGTTTTGGTTTTCGTGGGATCTAGTATTCCTGAGGAAGGCCTCAGAGAAGCAGAGAGGCAAACCAATAGCCATGATTTGAGAACTGGTGCCTAGGCAGAAACAGCCAGAAGCAAGTGTAGTCCCTTTTCCTTCACCACAAACCCAGGTCTCTGGCTGCACCTCCTAATCCAAACTGCAGAAGTGCCTTTTTATGGTGATGCCACTTTCTTCACACACTGTTGTGGCTGAGGCACAGGGAGGCATGTTCTTACCAGCCGGTCATATTAAAGTCCCTGTAGAGCATCTTCTTTCCAAGTTCCTTTCTCTGCACTCTCCTTGGAAACTCCAAATGTGTGAACTCATTTCCCAGCAAGTGAGGCTGCATGAATGCCTAATAGCAAAAGGAAACAAATACGTATTTAGAGGGGGGGAAGAAAAAGACTCAAGGATGTTTTGCAAATCGAGACGGTTTGCACTTTAAAAACGAAAACAAAAATAATCTCTTATTTTAATGGAAGTAAATAGATTTACAGGAAGAACAGCCTGGTGATCTACTTCTGAAAATCAGCCAATGAAAACTTTATGGATCACAATGGTCCGATCTGCAACCGATCACAGGGATGGCACAGGAGCAGGTAGGGTTTCATTCCATTGTGCAGGGGGTCACCATGAGTTGGGGGCTGACTTGACGGAATTAACAACTACCACCGCAATAAATAGACTCAAGAATCTAAATATGAATAAAATATCAATAAATACAAATCATGAACTTAATTTATAAAGGAATCATGAATTTAATTTACAAAGGGATATAACTTTTTCATTGGATATATTAACTGTAATTGGAGACATGTAATCAAGGACATACGAAAAAGGAACTGAGCTTTTCCAAAGGTTTACTTTTCAAATCCGAGATTGTTTCATTTTTCTGAATGGCATGTTAATGAGGTACAAGGGAAGAAAGCGAATCCTGACTCTTTCCTCCTTGGCTTTGTCCAAGCTCCTCTGGCTCATACCCGTAGTTAACATGGCCTTACCTCCCAAGTCTGAAAGTGAGTCTCCACATAAACACAATGGCCTGAGAGGGCGGGCTGGGACTAGATACAGCAGGCAGGAACCTTCTGTTGGACTCCCTCCATTTTGCTCTGCAGTAATTTGATCATGTAATTGGAAGACTATTCCAGAGCAGATGGCTTCCTCCCCTCCCCCAAATCTCTGTTCACACTATAAAAATCTTCAGCAAACAGCCACTTAGGGAATTGCTTTGAAACAACAAACAGTCTCATTGTCACATTCTAAATTCAAATCCAGCTACCCAAGAGATGAAATGCTCACGCAGTAACTTCCCCGCTCAGGGGCCACAGCCCGTAAGCATACCTGCACTGGAGATTCCCCACATCAAGCTGTACACTGCCCCTGCTCCTTAGCAGCCCGGGCAGCATAGAGCTTCTCTTTCTTCGGTGGGGAAAGAGTGGGCAGAACAAATTCCATCCTGGCATTGTAAGAAAGCCCAGGGATCCCTGCCACAGGACAGATGGCCATGTCCTCAGTTTACTGGAAAATGGGCACCTTCTTCAGTCTCTTTCCCACGACCCAATACAGACAGACCTCCCACTGACTCTCACGGAGGCTTGGAGGTAGTAGCTAAGCTAGGTATTAGTCATGGGAAGCTAAGGGTATCAGGAGCCAAAAGAAACAAGCTGAATTGTCGCCAGGCTGGTCAGATTTGGCCAGATATGGAATTCTGAGGCAGTAATGCTGAGCAGTCTTGGGAACAGGACTGGTCTGAGGGTGAGAAAAGTACTGTGCCTTATTGTCTACTGTACCAGTTGCCATTGAGTCAACGTCAACTCATGGGGACCCCATGTGTGTCAGAGTGTAAGTGCACTTCTCAGTTTTTAAACTGTGTTAAACATATAAGTAACAAAACATTTGCCATTTCAACAATCTTCACACGTACAGTTCAGTGACATAACTTGTGTTTACCATATTGTTCAACTATCACCTTGTATACGGTTTTCAATGGCTGATTTTTCAGAAGTAGATCACCAGGGCTTTCTTTCTGAGGTGACTCTGGGTGGATCTGAACATCTAACCTTTCAGTCAGCAGCCGAGAGCACTGATCATTTACACAACCGAGGGACTCCCTGTCTGCTGCAGCTTCAGAGATTCCAGCTCTGGGGGAATTCTGGGTCATCTTTGAGGTCTGGGACCTGTGCTAGAGTTGAGGCTTGGGCTGCTGATGGCTATCAAGAAAACTCAAATACTGGGCTTCACCGAATGGTTCTCCTAGGAAGGAAAGAAGGGAACTAGTACTTAAAAGGGCAGTTTGGTGATGTGGGCTTTGGGTGAGGCTGACCTGGGTCTGAATCCAAGCCCTGCATTTATAAGCTGTGTGATTCTGAACAGGTTATTTAATTTCCTAGGCCTTAGTTTTTTTATCTGTAAAATGAGATTAATTATATATTTATCTCACACTGATGTTTTTTTAATAATTAAATGAAATGATATCTTTAATGCACTTATCATGGTTGTCTCTGCTCATAAAAATAAAAATAATAATTATTATACTCACCTAATGATGAGTTGAGTTCTGTTACATCCTAAGTACTGCGCTAAGCACTTTGTGATTTCTTATTTTACCCTCCTAACAACTCTGTGGTCAGGATCAGCTACGTCGTTTGTCGGGCCCAACGTAAAATGAAAATGTGAAGCCCCTTGTTCAAAATTAAGAGTTTCGATGGTGACAGCAAAACATTAAACTAAGCTTGAGGCATTTCTAAGTGAGGGGACTGTGTGGCTGTACAAGTCACATGTCCATGAAACCAGTCCCGCCTAGGGGCTGTTGTTATTGTTAGGTGCCCACTGAGTGGATTTTCGACTATTAGCATCCCCATGTGAGAAATACTATTTCATCTCTCCTTTTATTTTGGTCCACCTGCGAAATCTAAGGAACAGAGGTGTAAGTGGTCAATGAACAGGGTGTCTTTTAAGTACCCTTTATTGTCTCTCAGAACTTTGGGATTGTATCAGCATAGAGTTTTTGTCACCCCCTGCTGGACTAACACTGATTCAGCAGTTACCATGTGCTAGCCCAGTATCAGGCACTTGACATGCCTTATCTTATTTATTCCCCCAATAATCCTGCATAGCGTGTGTCACAGACTCCGTTTACAAATGAGGAAACTAAGGCCCAGAGAGGTTAAGACATCGGCCAGGACTGGGTTGTTCTACAGCCCAAACTTGGTGTCATGTCCATAACCCCCATGCTAATCCCTATGTTGGCCCTTTAACCACCACACTCACATTCACGAAAAACAGTGAGGGGGCAACACAAGGTCTGCTGTGATCCTATCACTCTTAAACCATGCAAATTCTGAATCAGAAGCAGGTACCCGTGTGAATCAAGCTAAAAAAAAAAAAAGAATCACAGATCTACATGCAGCTTGACCACAAGAATGTTCCCAACATTATTTATAACATTAAGTTACTAGAATAATCACTTAATAGAAGAATGATTAAATAAAGTAGAATAAATCCATATAAAAGAATTCTATGTGGTTATTTAAAATGATGTTATGAGAGCATGTAACAATATAGAAAAAGAGTTGATACATCTGAAGTTAAAAAAAAACAGGTTATCAAACAATGTGTATGTGAATATACATATTTAGGTGTTGTGTATCATATATACATGAAACTATCTAAAAAGACAAACGTATATATACATAAATGAGCCTACGTGTGTGTATGTGTGTAAATACTGACATGTGACACACATATTATAAACAAATAGGTTACGATCCAAAGGCCATTCCTGAGTACATTTCTTCACAAATCCACGTGACTACGAGGGTTAAGCGTGTAGAGTTCCAGGCACTTTGCCTCTTAACAGGAGGATGAGTGGGCCCTTTGGTGATGCTTTAACCAGGTACTCTCATGCCCTTTTTGTTGACATACGTTTGCCTAGGCAGCTAAATCGAGAGGTCTGCTGAGGCAGATGTCTTCAGGGTGAGCCAGGATACTCCCTGGTAGCTTTGCTATCTGCAGGGGCCACCTCACCTCTCCCTCTGAGGATGTGTGGATTCAAAGGGGTCTTTGACTCTGTGTTGCGGTGACATCTGTAGCCCCTTCCCCATGCACACTCTTTCAAGGTCTCCAATCAACTGCTGGCTTTCTCCCAGGGTTAACAACAGGCTACTCTATTTCACTGACTCTAAAATGACACTGGAGTCCCTGGGTGGTACAAAGGGTTAATGCCCTTGGTTGCTAACTGAATGGTTGGAAGTTAGAGTCTACCCAGAGGCACCTCAGAAGAAAGGCCTGCCAATCTACTTCTGATAAAATCAGCCATTGAAAACCCTATGGAGCACAGTTCTACTCAGACACACATGGGGTTGCCATGAATTGGAGTTGACTCAACAGCAACTGGTGTTTTTTTTTTAAAGATGCCATTTATTAGATGCACCATTATTTTATTACCTTTAAGAAAGAAAGAAAAAAAAGCTGCCAATTAAACTATGTACAATCTTTCCTTACCACTTCAAATTTTTTTTTCTTTTTGAAAGATCTCCCTCAGACTTAGACAAATTTTTACCATTGATCACTACTATGTATATTTAAAAAGGAATGTATATTTTGGTTAAGGTTTTCCAAAACTTGTACACATTTTGAATCCAATTCTTCTCATCACTTTTCAGTGTGAGCCATTAATCTTCATGTTTTTTTCCACACAATAGCATCCTGTGTTTCATCAGACCATGGTAAGACAGCATTTCTTAAATAATCCATAAAAGACCGACAAGCATCAAAGCCACGGGTGCAAAGTTCTTAAGCCAGCTTTGCAATTATCTAGAGCTAGCTTACTTCTGACTCCCACTTTGGGAATGTGGCTCAACAAGTTTGATTCACACTTTCTAACCCCTCCACACAACCAAGTGGATCCAAAGAGGCTTCGTTTTTGTCTGCAGAATTTTCCTCCAAGTTGCTGGATACCCATCCTGCCAGTGGCCATTCTTTTGATGTTTTCATATGCCCACAGGATGACATTATGTCATGACTGCTACTTGGCTGACAGCAACAATCAACTGTAAGATATTCCGACGCCAGAGATGTTAAATGGTGGGGAAAAAAAAATGTCTTAGCTTTGAAGAGATACTATAATACTCAACCTCCATTGATACTGATGCCACACCCTTAATTTTTCTATTTTTAAGGATTTTTTCTTCCTTTCTTGCAAATTGCTACAGCACTTGTCACAAATGGCATGATTTATTTTCTGTCACAATCATGACTACCACAGAGTAATTCATTCTTTGTTACTACGGATTAAACTGTGTCCCCCTAAAATATATATTGGAATCCTAACTCCTATACCTATGGATGTACTGT